AAAAGTTCAACTCCAAAATGGAGTGAAAAATGAGATTACTTCACATTTGGAGGAAAAAATTGGTTTACTCCAATTATGGAGTTGAGAAAAGAGTGAGGTTGGACCGTTAGAGAGAATTTTATTCTAAGATTTGGAGATGCCCTAAGAAAATCTAAAGCCCGTATCTCATTTTTTAAGGTATATATCTATTTTTTTATAAATTGTATTCATATAAAGGCCCATCAAAAATTTATAGCACATGTCCACAATTCTACAGAGCCTGCCTGCCCTGTTTCCATGTAAACAACAAACCAAAGTTAGTAATAATATATGGATCATTTGCTCGTATGCCCTTCTAGGTGGGACTGAATTCAGTTGTAGCATTCTCTATTCTCTTTACCCTCATTTTAATGTGTTGTCGGTTTTGCCCTTCGTTTTAATTTAAAAGGATTAAAAACAGATTAAAAACTATATTCTGAGAGCCAATAAAAATACAGTATTCAACAACCAATCAAAAAATTTCTTTTGTTTATATATGTTTTTGATTTTTGTTTGAAAGTTTGAAGAAAAACAAAATCCCGACAAAATCAATCCCGAACCAAAATCAATCCATCAATCCGTCGGAGGAGGAGGAACAGAGAACATCATCCGTATACGTATTGTCGGAACACCACCGGAGAGTATACGACGCCGTCGCATCTAGAAGCTCCGCATTGTCGGGCGGATTGCAGCTACATTCCGAGTATATCTGTCGTCATTTTCTTACAGCTACTTCATTGTGTCCATCATAGATCGGGTACATCTTACTCGACTTTATACAAAATTATCGAAATGGGAGTATACTGATTGGAGTATCTGATTTGGATCGATTTGTCTTGGTTTCTATGAATTTGTGTTGTGTTTGTCTTGTAATTTTGTGAATTGATGGATTGTAGGTATNGATAGTTTGAGTTAGTTAGGATGAGTTAAGTATGCCATATTCGTAAATTGTTTGGTAGTATGAGCTTGATTTCCAATTGTCTATGAATTCGTACATAATGATATTGGGAATTTGATTTGGAGTGAATCCATTTTGATTCATTTCCAGGTGACAACGAATAACAGCCATTGCACAGTAATACATTTTG